TGCTAAGGAACTGGGAGATGCAATGAGTATCTTATAATCAAAATCTTTTTTAAAAAAATATTTATTTATTTATTTATTTATTATGTATACAATATTCTGTCTGTGTGCATGTCTGCAGGCCAGAAGAGGGAACCAGACCTCTTTACAGATGGTTGTGAGCCACCATGTGGTTGCTGGGAATTGAACTCAGGTCCCTTGGAAGAGCAGGCAATGCTCTTAACCACTGAGCCATCTCCCCAGCCCCCTAATCAAAATCTTAAAACAAGTACTTCAGCTTAAGTTTATCTTACAAATGGTACTTGTCATTTTTGTATTAAAACATAGTTTACTTCCAAATAGGATTAAGAATAAATCTAAAATGAGGTGTTTTAAAAGTTACTAGAATTGAGAATGTGGGGGTCAAGGGACACCTTCTGTTCTGTAGGTATTAGGAGAGGCCTGAACTTGGCCCAGACAGTACCCCAAACCATGTGCCTAAAATCACTTCATCTAAAACCATATTTTGCTGCACTCTTATTCCGGTGCTGGGCATGAGGATCTCTTGAGTGAGAAGTCCCAGTCCCAGAATTTTCCTATTCATCCACCTCAAAAGCAGCTCACACTTGAAATCCTAGCACGGGGGAGGCTGAGTAAAAGTACGAGGCCATCCTGGGCTACCGAGTGAGAGCCTGGCAGAGAAAAACAACAAACACACACCCAACCCAACACACAGAGAACACAGGCTGCTGAGCTGGTAGCTGTTCAGCAGACATTCACTTGCCGGGAGGGGCCTGCTCTGTCTCCCAGCTCTTTTTTGCTTTGGGGAAGGGACATGATCCACAGGAGCTGGCCGCAGAGAAAGCAAGCAGAAAGCAGCTGTGATGAGACTCCTGGGCACTCTGCATGTTTAACCGAGGGACATAACAAACGCTGCCAAGCTCAAAGGGTTCAACTTTGGGGTGCCTGTCTCTTCATGTCTACCCACTGAGGCTGTGAATTCTTCATTGACTTAGGACCTGATTGATCACTACCCAATGTTTTCAGATATAATTTCTTAATTAAGATATTTTCTCACAATATATTTTTTTCTCTGAAGAGCGCTAGAACAGTCTATAAAAATTGAGTTACAAAAAAAAAAATAAAACTAAAAGCAAAAGATAATTTCTCTGGAGGTCCTAGAACTTCTGGCCAAGACAAACATGTTAAGGAGCAATAATTTCAAATCCATAAACTGCAGATGGGATAGAGGGGATGCTGAGGAAAGTGGCTCTGCCAATCACAGCTTTCTGGCTTTTGAGATGAGTTGTGTTTCACACGTAAGAAGTCATACTCACATAACTGATACACCTTGATTGATTTAAGTACACACTTATGAAATGCCCACCATGTCTCAAAGATGATATACTCTAAACACACATCCTGTGCTGTCTCAGCTGTCACCTCACTAACAACTGCACCCAACTTTCCCCTCAAATAAAGGCTTCCCCCTGCGTGGTAGTGATCAACAAAGGTGGACAATCCCAACTCTGTGTCAGCCACTAACATTTCCTCCTGGTCCTGTTCTGCCAGGGGTCTTGCGAGGCTCTGATCACCACATTAGCCCCCTTGTGTGTTCTCCTCTCCTGTGCTGTTTAGCTTAGTTGGATGATGCCTCTTTTTTTAATGGTAAGATACTATGCCTGAGGTAGGTTCAAGGACCTACAGATAGATACAGCACTTAAATAGCTTAGCAAACTTCTAAGTATAGTGAGATCATTAATGAAAGACAAACAGCAGTAAATAAATATACAGTATCAACAAAATCCCATATATTTAAGACCCTAGCATCATTGTGATATGTGTTTTGTCTAAACAGTAAGATGAGGCCACACTGGGTAATGCAGAGTGGCCAAGAACAGCTGCTAGACCCAAGCACCTACACAGGGAAGACCAGGGATGACTACCTAGTCACTGCTCCAGACTCTGTAAGCTTTCTCCCAAACCACATACAATGTCAGCCAGCGGACTTGGCCCACCCTCTCTAGCCACTCCCCCAATTATATGGTGAATACCTTCAAAATTTCTAAGGATAAAGGATTTGTAAGAGCAGTTTCCAGCATCTCTGGATATCACCTGCCTAAGAAGCATCACTGAGAAATCTCTTTCAGTTTGGGTTGGAGAGAATATGATCTGACGAGTCAGTACACTCACTTGCCTTTGTTGCATTTTGAAAAGTGATCACTTGTAATATCTACTTTGTAATATGAATAATGCTATCTTGGCTGCTGGCAAGCTTGTAATATCTAAGGTAACTTCCCGCTTTTCCCGCGGGTACTTTGGCTCTGCCTCTTACTGCACATTGATAAATTTAAGTTTTGCTACGATGATTCAACAAAAAAAACTACTTTAAAATCTTTCTTAAAGGCAGTAATTGAGGTTTAACTAGGATTTATTTGCTATCATCAGAACAAAAATTACTAAGGGAACAGACATCATCTGCCTTGCTTTCTCCCTAAGCTAGTAGGATGTTGAAATAAACAGTAATTACTAATTTTGACTTTGCAAATCTTCTTTGCATTTCGAAATATACCAAGGCAATAATACATAAATTTTCTGAAAAGTAAACAAAATAAAAATAAAAGAAGCCTTTGTGACTTTCTAAATCAAATAACTGTAAAAGAATAAGAATGCAAAACATAAAGGAAAATGGCAAAGACAATCACTCTGCCTCCTATTTCCCATCCTGGGTCAGCCTGGAGAGGAAGCTGAAGAAGACGGAAGCAAGGTGATCGTTGAGCCAAAGAAGACTCCAGGAAGAGCACATTTCAGTAATCCTACAAGAGGCACAGAAGAAAAACTCCAACCGCATTGCAAAAGGCAACCTGGCACAGGGCAGCAGCCTTTCCCTGCATGCATGCTTGCACGCATGCACACACACATGCACATGCTCACTCACTAGCTCCCAAACCTGCCCTGGAACTGCCACCCTCTGCTGTGCGGGGCGTGACAGAGCATCCCTGCCATCTGGCGGTACTTACATCAAGCTGGGCCGGTGCCACTGGGTACTCCTATTGTTGTGGTTGACATAGTAAGTGCGGCCTAAATTGTCCACTTTCTCTTCCCATCCTGGTGGCAGGGGAGGAGGAGGGAGCTCCTCCTGGTGCTGGGAAGCTGAGTCGTTGGAGTCAACAACCTCCCATCCGTGCTGTGGAATAAAGTGAATGGGAGGGTCGTGAGTCTGGGCTCCAGATCACAGGAGCAGGCCACCCCAGCGTGACACCCTTCTGCCTCACCCGACCTCACTCTGGGTCTTACAATGGTCTCCTGGCTCGTGCTGAGATAGATGCTCCCTCAAAGGGAGAAAAACCAATTCAAGGTTTCAACACTCATCTGAGCAATGGCCAGTTGAGCATGCCAGCTTCTAAGATGACTGCATCTCAGGGGGCTACCAGGTCTGGAGACTTCATTTACTTCCTTTTCATTTCATAAACATTCATTTATTTGAGTGTGTACATTTATATGTAAGCTCACATGTGCCTACATGGCACATGTGTACAGGTCAGAGGACAATTTGCACGTGTCAGCTCTTTCCTCTCCTTCCATGTGAATCCCATGGATCAAACCAGGTGTGGCAGAAGGTGCCCTAACCTGTCGCGCCATCTCGCCAGCCCTGTTTAGTTTCTAAGCCACATCATAAAATTGTACATTTCCAGTAGTTGTTTCGACTCAACGACCTCTAGGGCTGCACAAAGCCAATGACATGGGACATGCCGGAGCTGTCACAGCCACCCTCCTTTCAACACCACCATGATGCATGCATGTATGGTCTACAGAAAGAAGGGCCCAGGTTACAGGTGTAGGGACAGGGCTATTGGTCCCCAGCGAGGATGGCCTGGGGCTGGTGTGACCGGAGATGAAGCCTCTCCCTTGTCTGTTACAATGGTGACCCAGGAGTTGTCTAGAAACTGATGCTGTTGCTTCGGCACTGCCTGAACAGACTGCATGGGGCCAGGACCAGAGTTGAACTGTTCCGACACATACCTTCGGCATTAAGTATTGCTTTCCTAACATCCCCTGGTAGAGCCAGCGGAAAATCAACCGATTCACTGGTGACTGCAGTCGGAAGATGAGAAGAGTATAAAAAAAATTTCCTCGGATTTCACACAGCAATCTGCTGCTTTGCTTGGGAAATCTCAAACTCCACTACGGCCTGCCACCCACCCTGTCACATGGCGGTAGCTGTGGAAGTCTATAGTGAAACACTGCCTGGAGATGTGGCCTCTTGGTGGGAGGGAGTTTGGTCAGCTTGTCCGCCACCTATCATTCAAGTACCACACATGTGGGACAGCTGCAAACAGGCGTGAGAACAGCCAGGGAGGCCTCGTTCAGTGAGAGCGTTCTGAACAAGACGAGAGTTGTTAACAGGACAGTGTTGACCACAGTGTGTGCCGAGGTGGTACAGTGTGATCCACAGCGCAGGCATGGGACCAGAAAGCGAGGAGCCCGCTCTGCCAGGAAGAGGACAGAGCAGAACACTCTTCTGGATGGCTAACTGCAAAATGGCATTTCCCAAGGATAGCTTTGCAGTACGTACTGTTACCCAAGGACCAAATGAACCAGAAATGGGGAGACAGCTTTTAAGTCAATCTCCATCCACTCTGGAGCAAGCTCAAGTGCTAAGAGGAACCCCCAAAATAACTGAAAGCCCAAAGCAATCATGTTTTTGTTCTTGTTTTTCCTGGCAGTGGGGCCATCCACAGTAGATGCCTTAAGCTGCTATGAAGAGTCTTCCTTAGGCTCGTGTGTGTGGACACTTGGTCCTCTGCTGGCGATGGTGTCTGGAAAGGTTGCTGAACCTTCAGAAGGTGGAGTCTTGTGGAAGGGAGTGGGTCCTTGCGGGTGGGCCTTGTAGATTTACAGCAGAACCCTGTTCTGTCTACTTTCCATCTTCCGACTGTGATACAATATATGACCAGCTGCTCCACATTCCTACCGCCACAGCGAACCTCCCTGGCCTGAAATGTGAGCCTTTCTTCCGTAACTGGCTCCGGGTGGGTATCTTAACAGCAGCCAGAAGAGAAAACCAATACAACTGTACGAAGCGCTGCTCTTCCTATTATTAGAGTCGTGACGTAGAACGAGAACTGCACCTTGGCTAAAACAATCACACAGCGGAGACTTTCAAAGACAAGCGCAGGGTATGTGTGCATGTGTTTGTATTTATGTTTACAAACATTCACTCCCTTCAGCGAGTGAGGCGAGCAGCCGGGAGACAGGCCAGACCCCGCAGCTGACCCTCATACCTCCATGTCGTCCCTCTGCTCGCTGTTTTCTTCATCCTGACCTCCGTTTTTCGGCATGTACGCCATTTTCAACCGCAAGAAACCCTTGACTCGCGATTTATGGCTGCACGCAAGGAAGAAAACCAGTTATAAAGACGATGGCTTGTTTCCATCTTTCTTGTTTGAGGTGTTGGCTGAAACTGTCCTCAGAGAACCCAGCCCTGCATCACTCACTCCCACACCCACCCGCAAGCCTCACCTTCTTGGTCGCAGGAGAAAGTCCTTAAATGTATAGGGTCTCTCCATGGTTGGGTCTTCTGTCTAAGGGAAGAAAAAAAAAAAACAAATTAACAAAGAAGCAGCACTTAGAAAAATTTCTCATTTTGACACATTCATCAGGAATATGGAGGATATAATTTTAGGGCATGCCAGGGGTTAAAGAGGAGCTGGCCTCTCAACAGCTGGATGATTAATTAAGCATCTGCAAGGCCCACAGAGGCCTGACTCCTTGAGCCCCACTAGATGTCACTATCTCCAGCAGCTTCTGGTAGTCAAGCCCAGCCAGAGACAAATGACAAAATTATAGCCACCACTGCCAAGTCTAATCTCTAACTGCAGGGTGTAGCCTCAACCTCCCAGAGCCGATTAACTTTGGAAAACAAGCGGTCACTCAAGCCTCATTATCCCGTGACTCGGGACACCTAAATTCAGAGTTAGCCAGGGAGCCTCTACCCACACTGGGCTTATGTCAAGAAGCGGGGAGTGAAACTGGGCTGTGTATTCCTTAGCTTGTCAACTTGGCACCAACTAAAATCACCTGGAAGGAGGAAACCCCAACCGAGGAATTACCTCTGCGAGGTTGGCTTTTTGGCATGTCTCCCTGATAGTTCTCTGATTAAAGATTGCTGAGGGCCCTGGTCACTGTGAGAAGCGCTACCCCTAGGTCCTGGGTTATATAGGAAAGCAGGATTAGCGGCTTCCTCCGTGGTCTCTGCTTCAGTTCCTGCCTACTGGTTCCTGCTCTAGGCTCCTGCCCTGGCTTCCCACCAATTGCTTCTGGTCCCAGCAACAGAGAAGTAACCAAAGGCACAGGATATAGGTGCATTCCATAAGAAATTAGGATTCCTTTTACTGTGCAAAGCTGGTTGGCTAATAAAGCAGGAAAGTGGGAAAACTTGTGCCATTACTGTTCAAATGTTACATGGAGTCAAACCTGAACTACCTGGCTTGTCGGACTAAATGCAATCCAGAATATTTGCTTTTATAGGATGAGGGGCAAAGCACAACTCAATGATGCATTATGTCCAGGAAGGAGAGAGAGAGAGAATAGTGCTTACATTTGAAAGATTGTCTATTTATATCCTTCCTTCCTATCCTTCCTCCTCCCCTGCTTTATGCCTGTGCATGTGTTATCTGTGTGTTTCCGTATGCTACCCCAAGGACAGCCTTGGGCACTGTTCACCCTGTTTTCTCTCTCACTGGCCTGATACCCACTGATTAAGGCTTATTGATTAGGCTAGAGCGGCTGATCAGAAAACCGGGGAATTCTCCCTGTCTCTGCTTCCCCAGTGCTGGAGTTGTAAGACATACCATAATGCCTTTTATTTACTGGTTAAGTTTTATTCTCACACAATATATTTTGATCATATTCTTTTCTGCATCCCCCAACTCCTCCTAGATTCTCTCCACTTCCTTCCCATCCCACTTCATGTAGTATCTCCTTTAAGAAATAAATCCCCCCAAATCAAAACAAACAAACCCCAAACACACACACACACACACACACAATACCAAAGTAAACCAAACCAAACCAAACCAAAATAAAGCACAACAAAGCCAAGGAAGGAGTCTGTTTTGTGCTGGCCAACTACTCCCGAGTGTGGGAACTGCCCTGGAGTGCGGTTGATAAACCCAGTGTCACTCCACTGGAGAACAGCAGGTTTTCTCTCTCCCAGCAGGTATCAACTGCAAACAGCTTCTTGGTTAGGGTTTTTTTCTGACTTGAACTTATGCAGGTCCTGTGCATACTCCACCATGTGAGGTCATACGTGCACCAGTCCCGTTGGGTCTGGAAGACGCTTTCATGTACGTTCCAGGGAACTAAACTCCTGGGCTTTTGTTGGCACTTCACCTTCTGACCCATCTCTTCAGCAATCTTCGTCCTATTCTTACTACAATGAAATGGGAATCCCTGCCCATGACCTGCCAGCCTTGTGATCAGGCTTTACACCTTTACCTCACTGTCAACGGTCTCCCTGACAACGGTTCCTACTCCAAGCCATCGCCATGTCATCAACAGAGCCCACGCACTGACAGGTCCGGACTGACAGTCAGTCCACTTCGCATGTCTCTGCCATGTCGCCTTGCCCTCGGAGAGCCCATCTTAAACTCACTTACATCACCCCGTGTCACAGCCCTCGGCTTGAACTTTCTCATCACCACTAATTGCCAGGGACAAGAAAGAAGATGTGTGCAGAAAATAACTGACACATTCATTTGCTCTAGAAAAAGAGCCCTAAAATTAACTTTCCCTGAAGAGACTCAATTATTATATTCTCTTAGATTGTGCTAAGGAAGGCAATAAGTAAAACTTATTGACACTTGGGGGATATTTCTTATATAAAAATTTTCAACACGTATCACTTACAATGCACAACTAGGCAATCTGGAATATTACCCTTGGGGTCAGTGACGTGGTTCAGCAAGTAACAGTGTTTGCTGTCAAGCCTGAAGATCTTAGATCCCAGGAATCCACTTGACGTAAGTGGAGAACCAACTCTCAAAACTTGTTCTCAGACTGCCACATGCGCGCACACACACACACACACACACACACACACACACACACACACACACAGCCATGAACATTAGAGCGCCTACCACTGAGACTACCTTAGCGTCCACCTCGCCATCCTGAACATGCTCTGTTCTAAGAGAACGGTCAGCCCAGGCCGCCCAAATGCAACCTTGGCTGTGGTGGAGATAATGCATCTGCAGCAGTGTTTCTGTCTAAATGAATGCCCAAAGATGCAGAGCATCTGAAACTGGCAGCAGTGGGGGAGCACGAAGGGCTGCGGGGGTAACAGGAGGGGCACAGAACAAGGAAGAAGCAGGAGAAGGTTCAGGGGTGCGATAGGAAAACATCTTTCGGGAACTTCATTCTGTTGTCAGAGCGAGCGAGCCTCTGAGCTATTTTTATCCTTAATGAGAAGGTGCAAGATAGGCGACGCGAGGTTGCAATGGCGATGCACTGACTGGAAGAGACGGGCTCAAGCACAGAAGTTTAAGACAATCAGCAGTCATGTGCGGCCAGAGCCGAGGCTGCTCCTGGTGGCCCCGTGAAGACAGCAGGAACTCACGGAAAGGGCAGCACTGGTGAGCAGCTGGTAGGCGACAGCACTGTCCTCATTAACAGCCTCTCATCTCCTCTGCAGGCCTCGGTCCTGCTGCCAGCGTCTCCTAGGTAACGAGTGTGTCACCAAGGACACAGAGCCTCCGCTCAGGGAACACTGGAACTGCCCTGATGCTCCGTCACCGAGCTAGGTGGCAACCTGGCCTTGTCTCTAAGACAACCCTTCCTCCCGTAGGAAAGTGGAGGCCCAGAAAGGACCCCTAGACAATGCACCTGTCTTCAGATGGAAGTCAGCCACAGCCGACGACAGGCAGATTCCCATCTCTTAAAACCTGTCCTTCGGCAAAGTCTTAGAGCACGACCGTGTTTCCTTAGCTCTGTCCTACATAAAAGGTTCACTTGCCCCATGTGCTCTGCCTCAGTCCTCTCCTCAACGCGCAGTAAAGAAGAAAATGAATCCTGAAGATAACAGCCAGGAATCAGATGTCCCAGATACCCCACAAGACTCGAACCTCAGATCCCATCCATTCCCTGTTCCCACACAAGTGTGAACAACAGCCAGGACTGAAAGAGAATCAGGATTCTAAAGTTACTTTGTTGCAACTGGAAGCCCTTGAGTACCAGGCCTGGAGGAACCCCGGATCACAGGAGGGGAAGGGCTGAGTTTGGCTCCCACTATCATATATCCCTTTCTTGCCTGCGTGGTTGGGATAGCAGGCAGTGACTACCCACCGTGCAGGGTAGCTGTGCCACCATCTCCCCTCAGCCTGTAAGTCCAGGATGCCAATCTGGACTTACATATATAACAGCTACCTGGTTCAGAAACAGCTTAATTAAGTCCAGGTGAAGTTGCTTAATTAATTCAGGTGTCCATCTCTTGGCAATGCGCTGTGGGAGAGATAAGGGTTCCACAAAGCTGAAGTTTGTACCTCAGTGTGTACCCACCAACAGGGGATACACCGACCCTCTTGGTTGACCTGTTTGGTGTGGGTGTGTGTGTGTCGGGGGGATGTGAGGGAGCTTTTCCGGGTCAGAGAACTTATGGTAAGAAATGGGGACGGTTCAGGAAAGCAAGCCTGGGGATTCTAAGGCACAGTGTGATATTGCAAATACAATATCTGCTGGTAACAGCTGTGACAGGCTTTCAACCAGGAAAAGGCCTGCAGTTGGGAGGTCTACAGTATTTCAGACACACACACACACACACGGGGTGCATGAAACAGAACATTCGAGTTATTTAAAGCAATTTCATAGCCATCCACACTAAGCTCGCTTCTCCTGTTCCATTGCCATCGAATTCCTGATTTCCACAGCGGTTTCTCATATCAGACAAAGGAGTCTGATGCATTCAAGTGTACTTCCCACTTTCTCTTCTGTGAGGTGCAGTGTGGCTGGCTTTATGTTGAAGTCTTTGATCCATTTGGACTTGAGTTTTGTGCATGGTGATAATTATGGATCTATTTGCATTCTTCTACATGTTGATATCCAGTTAAGCACCATTTGTTAAATATGCTTTCTTTTTTTCCATTTTATATTTTTTTGCTCCTTTGTCAAAAATCAGGTGTTTGCAGGTGTGTGGATTAATATCCGGGTCTTCGATTCAGTTCCATTGGTTCTCCTCTCTGTTCTTATGCCAATACCAGGCTGTTTTCAGTACGGTAGCTCTGTAGTAGAGTTTGAAGTCAGGGATTGTGATGCCTCCAGAAGTTCCTTTATTGTACAGGATTGTTTTGGCTTTCCTGGGTTTTTTGCTTTTCCATATGAAGCTGAGTGTTGTTCTTTTGAGGTCTGTGAAGAATTTTGCTGGGCATTGCATTGAATCTGTAGACTGCTTTTGGTAAGATTGTCATTTTTACTAAGTTAATTCTACTTACCCAAGAGCATGGGAAATTGTTTCATTTTCTGGTGTCTTCTTCAATTTCTTTCTCCAAAGATTTAAAATTCTTGTCATACAGGTCTTCCACTTATT